TACGATTTCACCAAAATTTGACTAGTTTGTAGATCTTGTCTTGCTGATCATGTTTTGCTATTTAAAGTGTCTATCTATCTTTTATAGGTTTCAAGATAATAGGCAAAATCATCATTATTGAGAAAGAACTCCAATAAGGAGTCGATTGCAATTTCGGCTATATTGACTTATTTGTAGATCTAGTCTTGCTGATCATTTTTGCTATTAAAAGTGGCTATCTATCTATTATGGCTAGCCTTTTTACTATTTATTTCAAATTCAATATATCTCATATAATAAATAAACAAGTCTAAATTGAAAACAACGTTCAAACCTATGATTGCGTTGGATAAAAACCGCAATTTTTATACGTGTGCATGCAAAACAAATTTCTTGGTAATATATATATATATAGTTTATATAAACTATATAAGATATCTCATAAACTGACTATGCGGTATGGGTTTTATTCATTGTTGAAGGCTGTACTGTGACCTCTAGTTGTTAATTTCTGTGTCATTTTGGCGCAAATACAAAATTTTGGTCTCTTGTGGAGAGTTGTCTCATTTGCAAACAAACATCTTCTTATTTCTATATTTATAAGATATCTTATAAACTATATAAGATATCTCATATAATATAAGTGCTTATAAATAGCAGCACATGACATACAAATCTATGGGAGTGTGGATTAATCAGTACAGAGATTAATTCAATTACACAAATAAAATTATAGATTGCCTAACAATGTAATTTTAACACACTATTTAGTATGTAAATATAAGAATGTTTAAAATATTTACAAAATGATGAAAATAAACGCAATATTTCGCTAGACTAACTAGCTTTATCAAGCGTGCATCTATCCAGGTGAAATCGGATGTAGATGATAAGAAACTTTTGCAGCTCAATGTATATGTTGCATTTGAATTTAGCTGCCTTGAAAATAATACATAATTTGGATGAAGTTCAAGATTTTTACAAAATTGGTAGTTGAAGTTAGCAACGTCCATTGGCCAATATTACAGGATAAAAAGGACGATGCTGTGTACTAAATTATTCTTTATCTTTCCTGTATCTTTTCTCATCTTTTTCGTTAAGACCATCAGGTTCTAAAGTGTGAAGTTGGTGGATCCAAAAATTTTCTCTTCTCCTTCTCGCCGTTGTGTCCCACTCGGTGTTGACTTCTATGATTTGGAAAGTAACATTATCAAAAGAATGTTTCGTTGAACGGAGATGTCTTGTGAGAGGACAGTTTTTGTTGGTTTTGTACCATGAACGATGGTTATTGAGCCGAATCTTAAATCTGCCCATTGTTTCTCCCACATACTGAATGCCACAAGTGTCACATGTTAATATATAAATTGAGTTCTCCGTTTTACAGTTGGAATTTGAGTAGATGGTATAATTTTGTTTAGTAACGGAGCTGATGAAAGAAAAGTATTGCTGATATCTCATATAATATATACGATATCTTATATAATCTAGTTTTTATAAGATATCTTATAAACTTTATAAGATATCTTATATAGTTTATAAGATATCTCATACATTTTATAAGATATCTAATTATATAATTTATAAGATATCGTATAAAGAAAATCATATGAGATAGCATATCAATCATATGATATACCTTATAAACCATATAAGATATCTTATAAACTATACAAGATATCTCATAAACTATATGAAATATTTTATAAAGTATATAAGATATATTTTAAACTACATGAGATATTTTATTAAATTTATTAGACATCTTGAAGTTAGAATAAATAGTAAAACACTTGCCATAATCTATAATAGTTTTCTAGATTATAAGAGGCAGAAAACTAAAAATGGGTTAAAATTGTCATTGAAGAGGAATAACTCCAATAAGGAGTGAACTGGCGATTTTGGCCAGTAGACTAATTTGTAGATCTTGTCTTGCTGATAATGTTTGCTTATTTAAGTTTCTATCTATCTATTAAAATTTTCAAGATAAAAGGCAATAAACTGCTTCGCCGAGCGCAGCTGGATACGACCGCAGAGGTCCAACCCTGAACAGTTGGGGCAAACATGGACACAATATTCAAGCTTGATACAGGTCTGAATTTGGATTGTAATTAAATATTTGACACGTTATAGGTTTCTGACACAGAATAAATGTGTCAAAGAACTTGAAATTGGTTGTATGATTTGAATTTATGTTCAATTGAAGATTTCTTGCTGTTGTGCAATACACTGTGCTGTTGCGCAATACTTAGTAAATAGATATAAGAAGATGTGGTATGAGTGCCAATGAGACAACTCTCCATCCAAGTCAAAATTTATAAAAGTAAACCATTATAGGTCAAAGTACGGTCTTTAACACGGAGCCTTGGCTCACACCGAACAGCAAGTTATAAAGGGCCCCAAAAATTACTAGTGTAAACCATTCCAACGGGAAAACCAACGGTCTAATCTATATAAAAAACGAGAAACGAGAAACACTTATGAACCACAACAACAAACGACTGAACATCAGATTCCTGACTTAGGACAGGTGCAAACAATTGCAGCGGGTTTAAACGTTCTAATGGTACCAAACCTTCACCCTTTTTCTGAAACAATAGTGTAACATCACAACATAGAAAGACACACTATAAAATATCAACTGAAATAGCTTAACTCAATCAAAGGACATATTAACACCAGTGAACATACACTGAACAAATAAATTTGACCTATGATAATATGTAAATACAAAATAAATAAAGTAAGGGAAGAATAATAAAAGTAACATGTCTTTTCAGACTATATACAAAGAATTAGCAAAATAAATTGTGACCCCCAATTTTTTTCTTTGGAAAATTGACAATTTCATAAATCTTGAGGAAAAAAAATTACCCCCCCCCCCCAAAAAAAAATAATGTTTTTTACCTCCCCCCTCCAAAAAAAATATTTGAAGAGAATTTTCTTTTGAGGAAAAAAAATTAGCCCCCCCTTCCAAAAAAATTAATTTTGAAGAAATTTTCTTTTTGTAAAATGTGGTACAAATTAAGAGACATCCATACACTTAAACACAAGTTATTGTCTGAAAACTAGAAAAATGCTTTTTTTAAACCCTTTATGGCCCCTTATTCCCGAACGGTTTGAGCAACTACCCCCAAAATGAATCCCAACCTTCTACTAGTGGTATTGAACCTTGTGGTACAATTTCAGAGCAATCAAAATACTTATACACAAGTTATTGTCCTGAAACTAGAAAAATGCTTGTTTTGGCCGCTAATTCCTAAATGGTTGGGACAATCACCACCAAAAACGATCCCAACCTTCCTTTAGTGGTATTGAACCTTTTGTTTAAATTTCATAGAGATCTATACACTTAAACTAAAGTTATTGTCCTGAAAACAAATGTCTTCGGACGATGAGACGACGTGATACCAATATACGACCGCAAAATTTTTTTGCGGTCGTATAAAAACATAAAAATATTGGTAAAAGTCATCATTCAAGGGCAATAACTCCTATTAGAAGTTGTCTTGTCAGTTTTGATGTTAATGGACAATACTTACATCTCATCATTTTGAGCAATTGTGTACCGGTAAGATTTTCGCTTTCTATAGTTTTCAAGATATTAGAACTTGCATTTTACCCCTATATTCTATTTTTAGCCATGTTGGCCATCTTGGTTGGCAGGCTGGATCATCGGTCACATTTTAAAAACTAGATACCCTAATGATAGTTGTGGCCAAGTTTGGTTAAATTTGGCCCAGTAGTTTCAGAGAAGATTTTTGTAAAAGTTAACGACAGACAACGGACACCAAGCAATGAGAAAAGCTCACTTGGCACTTTGGGCCAGTTGAGCTAAAAACTGAATAAGAATAATGAGTCTGTGTAAGGTGATATTTCTTCCTGTGGACAGTTACCAAGAACAACAGTGAACTAGCATAAAATCCAGCTCAGCATGTTGGTCTAGTACAAATCAGGGTTCATCTTGTTAAAATTAATATGTTCTCCACCTGAATATGCATTTAATATGCCACTGGACATTAAACAATTTTCCATCAGTATGCCCAAAATTTCTTTAAAATTTCTGTGAAGAAAGATCTTGACCTTCTAATGATTTTTGTTCTTATCATCTTTTGTTTTTGAGAACTAAGCCAAAACTGCTGTTTTTCCTCATCTGTTATATATCTGACAGACAGGGTTCACCTGACCTTGATTTCATTTCATTAATCAGTGAAGTTTTCGTGGTAAAGTCTGTATCTATATCTGTATAGTCAGATACTATAGGAAATAGTTAAAAAAAAAATTTGGTGTATGGAATGATTGTAAGGTGTACATGTCAGACTGGCAGGTGTTCACCTTGACCTCATTCTCATGGTTCATTGCATTGTACAATAGAATTGAGAATGGATAGGGGAATGTGTCAAAGAGACCATGTTTTTTTCTGGGGGGGTTTGTCACTATATTTGGTGTAAGGGTTGATTGTTAGGTGTACATATCTGTCTGGCAGAGTTCATATGACCTTGACCTCATTTTCATTGGACAATGTTTAGATTTTGTAGTTTGGTCTGTTTTTCAAGTTTCAAGTTCTATAAGCAATAGGACCACTATATTTGGTGTGTAATGAGTGAAAGGTGTACATGTCTGTCTGGCACGATTCATCCGACTGCGACATTATTTTCATGGATCATTGATAATGATTTGTGTATGGGATACTTATAGTTATTACAAAGTTTAAACATTAATTCAATCACGATAAGTAAAGCAGGTGAGACATTTCAGCATATGTACTCTTATTAATACATGTATGTAAACCAAACATCAATTCCCCATTTCTCTGGCTTTCACTAGACTTTTTCATTAGTATAATATTTGATCTGTCTTTACAGAACAGTATGTTTACTTTTTATCACAGTTTAATTATGAGTTAATTTACCTCTTGATAAATGCAGAGAGAAGGTTCACTGTAGCAGAATTTTTTTAAAAACATTAGGTCATAGCAAACTGCATATAAATTATGGAGAAGAAACAGTAATAAAACCGAGACCTTTTCTTTTTAAAAATAAATTTATTAAACAGAATGGATTCCAGTTTCTATCACAAGTTCTGACAAGTCAGAAAACAAATGCTTTACATATAAGACAGATTTGCCCATATGTACAAGACTACATAATACTAAAGTTCTCAACACAAACATTATAAAATATCAATTCAATATTAGCAATGGTGAGGTTTTGACTAGCAACACTGAAACACATGTTTACAAACGTTTACATTTTCCTAGCATCTATTTTGAATGAACTACATGTGTCGTAACTGTTCAATGTATATTAAACATGTCATGTGGTCAAATATTTAACAAAAGCATTTTAACTGACATGAAAGCACTTTAGCATACATTATTTCAATGATTTTTTTCGTATACATAGAATAACTATGGTTTTTTCAATTTTGAAACATCTTGCTCACTTCATCCATACTGTAAGAATTTCGTGTTTTCAAAAATAAACATTGCTCTTACAAAGAGCATAAAACAAACATATGTACCTTGAATTTGTATACGACCGTCTTTTTTAAGTTCAAGAAAACTCATAAGTGGCAGTATTTCTAAAATGAATGGTGCATACATTTTAATGTAAAAAACATAAAAAAAACAGGACATGACATTTATGAATATGAAATTCTTAAAATCTATTTCTACAGTAAATTGTGTGCAGAATTTTCCATTATTTAACACATAAGCCTTTTCTAAAAGAGGTGTACATCTCAGAATATGTTAGAAAATCTGGCATATAATTTAGCAAAAATTTGAAGGCTTATTCTGCTAATTTTGCACCATTTTATCATTTTACCAGCACTATATAAAGAAAATGCATTTTTCAAATTAAAATTATTTTTTACGTTTTTAATTTAAAATTATCAAACTTGGATTTCTTTAAATTATGATTTCAAGTATTTCTTTTTTGGAAAGGACTATAAACAAATGAAACATTTTATTTGATAAGGTAAAAATATACATTACATGTATATACAACTGGAATGTAACAGAAAATAAGCACTCTTTTTTAATCACTTTGTTTTAAATCTTTTTAATATCATACATATCCCCAAAAAATGTGTACATGTATATTGGGAAAACATGTCAATGTTCAAACACAGAAAATGAAGGTGAACTTCTCTAAACAACCACAGAAAATGAAGGTAAAGCTCTCTCATCAACCACATTTGCACTCAGTCCTCCTCAAGTGATGAAAATGATTTACTGACCTTACCAATCTATCACATGACAGCTAGAATTCTAAAAAATTGCACTAAACCCTAATGTCACGAGATCCTTCATATTATATATGTCAATATATTTATATAAAAATGTGTTCATGAAATTGATCAAAATTGCTCTATGAATTTTATTCTTTCAGAAAAAGCTTTTTCATCTATGAGATGACTGAGATTTTTAACTGATTAATTCTGTAAATCAGATTTAGATAACTAATACATAAAAATTTAGAGATGAAAAAAAAAATCAATAATTAATAAAATTGAAATTTACATGTACACTGGATATTATTCTGACATCTTCAATTGCTGACTGTTGTTATAAAATTGAACACAACACAACTCAATATTATATCAATACAGAAAATGGTTCTATTAATCTAGTTTTTTCTGTACAGTTTTTTCTTTTCCAAGCCGTAAGATGAACACAAGAGTTTCCATGATGAACTCCATGTAATTTCTTTCATACAACCACTAAGAGATATAAAAAGTTTTTTGAAGAAGCACCAACGTCTTGTCTCTTCCTTCAGTGTAAGATGCAATTCAAAAGTATCAACTGTATTTGGATCATAAGATAACTTGGCTAAACGTTTACACTGCTGCTTCTCTTCCAGATTTATATACAAAGTACACCCTCTAAGTCCACATGGCTCACAATATGACATTGACACTATGTCCTGCGCTACTTTCTTTATAAGTCCACATGGCACCAATATTTCACATTTTAATTGCTGTTCACGAACTTCTCTAAGAGTTTGCTGAAGTCTTTGAATCAGGAGGCTACACTGTTTTACGTCTAACGATGACAGAGAGTCGATGCTGCCATAATTTTCTGTTGTAACTTCTGGGATTTCATCTGAAAAAATAATGAATATACTCTTACAATTTTGCCTCCCAAATCAGAACTCATCAATCAAGATCACCTAGAAACCTCAGATCAAATTTACAAAACAGTCTTTAGGTCATTTGGTCTCTGGTGGAGAGTTGTCTCATTGGCAATCATACCACATCTTCTTATTTTTATATTTAGGACTCCCAAATCTCATACTTATATCACTGATTAAATGTTTTCTAGACATCATAAGAAAAATTGGCTGACCTTTTTTTGTAACTTCAAACATTAAAGAAATATGCAAAATTGTATGGGTTATAATCAAGGACTAAAACCTTGATGTTGTATTATTATCAAATTAAGCGACAAACATTCATATCAACATGTAAACAAATAGCAGGTTACACTGTATATGTAGTTCAGTGATTAACCGATATTGTTTGTTTGCTTGCAAGTATGATTACGCAACATATTTTTTGCATTTTCAGCAATTACTTTATATTGTTTGGATGAATACCAAAAGTCCTGGTTTTGTAAATGTCTAAAGACTGTGGATTCTTAAATGCACAAAATTGTATTCAACTATACAATTGGTCCTAGATGTCAAGAAAGACAAGAATCAATAAAAACCCATTTGACACACAGGCACTTGTCTCTGAGTTTTTTTTGTTTTCCTATATACCTTAATTATATTAAGGTATAAAGGGGGAAAAAAATTCAGAGACAAGTGCCAGCGATTTGACAGTATTTTCTGTTAGCAGATTAAAAAAAAATTATTCAATGTTTTTCAATATTTTTTTTGTATTTCCTGTGTATTTGTATTACATTATTAATGTATTTTATGTTGGCATGAAAAAAAAAATAATTGAAAAACATTGATTAAAAATGTATTATCTGCTTCTGGAGTCCCTGTGCTAAAAAGTGGTGATATATATGTAGGACTCAAATCTATGGTGGGTTCCAGATCTATGGTAAATTCCTAATCTATGGTAAATATGATGTCACAAACGCCAAAGAAATCATATATCTGTGGCAGTTTTTTGTTTTCTCCAAATCTATGGCAGATTTTGATATTACGTAATTTTCCGTGGAAAAAAGTAAATCATAATGTCACAATTAAATAATGTCATAAAAACGGTTTTGTAATATAGAAAGAAAAGAAAAGGCCACTTTTCAAGGACCCTAATCCATAGATTAAATGATGTTTCAGAATTTGAGTTTATGTTTACGAAAATCCCTGCAAATAAGATGATGTAATCATCTCATTCGGATGAAATAAGAATACTAGCGAACAAATCCATAGTCATTCGTAACAGGAAAATCGCTAGTGCAGGCAATTTCACGCGAATGAATATTTTATTGGTGTTTTGTGTTTGTTTCCGCTTTTTGTTTTCTTGTTCTCGCATTCCTGGTATTGCCCTCTCCCTCAATTGTACGAGTTTTTACTCTGCATTTTGGTTTGCTTTTTTCTTTTCTTTCATCATTTTTCGTTTTGCTATGCTTTTTTCTTGTTTTTTTTTTTTTTTTTTTTTTAATCCCAATGGTACTCTTTAATTTTTTTAACATAACCATAAGAATTTTGTCAGCTATATAACAGTGACTTCCTGTACTATTGTTGCAAATAAGCTTTATTGAGATTTGAAAACTAAAAAAATCTGTCATAGATTTCTAATAACTATTTACATTATTTTCAGCTACATTGTATATGTATGTCGAATAACTGTACTTTTGGAGAAATAAGGATTTTTAAATAAAGCCACGTGTTTGAAGCAAGTCATTGTTTATTATAGGACTTTGACTTTAATCCTCATCAGTTAAAAAAAGATTTATTTACGCTCAAATACATATATGGTAAAAAGTCAAACTGCTTTTTGCGTTGTCAATGGACTTGTCGGGGCCTTTTATAGCCAACCACACGGTATGGGTTTTTCTAGTTGTTGAAGGCTGTACGGTGGCTTTCCCTAAAAGCAGATTTTCCGCTATCTTTGGACATTTCAACTTTGAAATTTTTGGTCAGATATGTACTGACTGGTCCTTCATTTGCAGAAAATCTGCCATAGATTTGAAAACTAGACATTCGCCATAGAATTAGGAAACTAAAAATTTGCCATAGATTAGGATTCTAAAAAATCTGCCATAGATTGGGGATGGCACAACACCATATTTACCATGGATTAGGAATCTGCCATAGATCTGGAACCCACCATAGATTTGAGTCCTACATATATATATCAAACCATAGGATTCTGTGAAATCTGGGAACAGTATATCTAATATATTATTATGTTCCTGGTGAAATGGACATTAATGTAATAGAATCAGGAAGTTCATGAATATATGTACTTGGAACAGTTAAGGTTCTGACAGATGAGGATGAATTAATGTAATGGTCAAACTGTCAGACACAAGTGGGGTAAAGAAATAAGTCATCTTAAACTGGGACCTATCTAACATAATGTAATTCAAGATCCTTAGGGTCTTATACAATATACATGAAATCATTGAAATCCAATGTATGAGATAGTTGTCTTTTTCAACTTATTACCTGGTACTTTCTAAATCATCACTTTTAACACATTGCAATGAAATATTTCATCAAAATACACGATGCAAAGATGGCACAGAGAAATTTCTATTTTTAGCACATCAAATCTATATTTGGAAATGAGCCAATATATAAAAAGTTCTATATAATTTTGATTTTAATTGTAAAGCACGCATGCAGTTTTAAATAAACTGTATTTTCATCTTTCTGACTTGTTGCTTTGGTAATCATATATAGGAAATCAACTCTAAGCTCGGTTCTGTCCATCTTATGATAAAAAGTGAACTGAAAATCGATCACAAGTCACGAGTGATTGAAATACATATTATTACTCATAATACAAAATAACACAAATTGCATGTAAAACTTACTATGATGACAAGTCTTCACAGTGTCTCTTTCAAATATTCCTTTCTGTTCATTCTTTTCCACATCACTGAATATCAAATACTTTAGTTTCTGCAAAAGTTTGTCCACCTTTGTCTTGTTGATTGAATTTTGATCAATCAAATGACAACAACTGTCCCGAGATTCGAACTCCATTTGTTATTTACAAATGAAAATAATGTAAATTGCAAAACAAATTAGTCGTCCAAATTAACACCTAGCACTAATGAACTAAACTAAGCGATGCAAACGACAGGACGTGTGTTGATCGTCTGCACTTGTCATTTCTAAATCAGCTGTTTTTTTCCACTGTGATTTGAATATTCATGAGCTTGTTCCATTATATTTGGTATCATCCAAAGGTTAAGGTCACACAAGGGATTCACATTTTAACGTGAAGGCTTCTCGATGTTTCACGTCAAGGATTTCTATACAAATCCTTGGTCATCCTTGTTCACATTTAAAAAAGATAAAAATGAGAAACAAGCATTCTCCTTCTATATCAAGAGTTAATTTTAATTGGACGATCTTTAAAAAGATTCTAGGTCCCTGTGGAAATATGTCAATTTAGTTAGAAAGTACTGTTAAAAAAAAGTTACTTGTTTAGTTATTCAAGTTTTCATGCTGACTTATATAACACTGTGTAATAGTTGTCTCAGTTTTATGTTCTAATGTTTTTTTGTTTTACAATTTCTACCTATCTATAATAGTTTTCAAGACAATAGGCATAAATTTAAATAAAAGTTAAAAAAAAAATTGTCATTTAAGGGCAATTACTCCTGTAAGGATTAATCTGATAATTTTGGTGCAAATAGGAAGGAGGCTGATCTTGACATTCTAAGCATTTTTGTCCTGTCAGATTTTCCATCTCTATCAATTAAGATTTTCAAGGGATTAGACAATAGATGCATTTTATCCAGACATTCTATTTTAATTGGCAGGAACAAAAAACACAAACATTATGATTCTTTATACATTTTGTACTAGAAACCCTATAAAGGTCAGTTTAATTTTGTTTGAAAATTGTCCAATGTTTTCATAAGATTTGTGTAAACAATTCTTATAAATGTGCATTTGAGATCATTATTTGACTGTTTCAATTTAATTAGTGAAAATAACAATTTTGATACTGTCAAAATTACTTTTTTTAAACCTAAACTTTCATTGATGACCTTAGATATGAATCTATAAACCGGAATTTATCACATAATCTGTACTTGCCATAACCAACACTTTGCCACTGGTGGATAGGGAACTATTTACCCTTCAAAGGGAACGTTTTTTTGTAGGGTTTCCATTGGTAATTTTTAAATTTTCCTTTAAAAGGACTATGACAGTGTTAGTTATTTTTATTCTGTGTTCGATTCATTGGTTAAGGATATAGCCAAAGTTTAAATCCATTCATACAATATCATGAAAGTTATAAATTAGTATAAAGTTGAAAGTTTAACCTTTTTCGAAATTTGAGTTCATTCATAATAGACATCATTTATGGATAAGATTTTTTAGACTTTAGGGCAAAAAAAATCCTGTTGACAAATTGATTAAATCAAATAAATAAGATATTACCTTTGTTTATGTGGACATATAAGTTGGATAATTTGGAGTATTACAGGATTAATTCATATATTTTAGAAATGAGTATCTTAACACCTGATCTGATCTAGTGGCGCTGTTATTTATCCATTTTTTTTGTTTCCCAAACCAAGTAGTTTTTGGTGTTGTGCTCCAATATTTCACCAGCAGAACTGATTATGACCGAGTATATGAGACCTAACAACATGCATCAAACTTAGAAGAGGTCATACCAACTGGGTCAAACCAAACTCTTGAGAATTGGTATTTGCTACTTCTCTATTTAGCATGCTGCAATTAGGCGTTAGAGCAAAAATGGTCAGCTCATGCTAATGTGTTTTGGTAGGGTGACATTTCACTCAAGGGACTGTGACCTAGCTAGTTAAAAATATGGCTCAGCCTATAGGACAAAGCAGGGTTCATATTCATATCACATTAACCTGTTCTCGTCCTGATATACATTTAGATGTTAAACAACAATCATTATCATCTTTTAAAGTGGTCAAACTATAAATATAAAATTACATGGTTAACTTGATGTGAATCAATGAATCATGGATATAAGGTCTAGGTCAGGTGACTCCTGTCACGAAATGTACATATAATAAATGATTAAACAAAACATATTTAAAATGGAAGTTATGGTCAGGTATAAGCAGTCTGTATAAACCATAAAACTGAGGTTAGATGAACTCTTACAGATGGATATTGTGCAATGCTTCTGATTACAAATCACCTATTACTAACAGTACTTGACTTGGATCAACTAACCACAAAAATGAGGTCTAAGTCAGATGAACCCTGTAAGATGTGTACATGCAATAACTCTATAGATAAATATTTTTGACCAACTTTTTAAAGGAAATGTAAAGATGACCAATACACATTAAACTTAATGCTGTTCAATGGCACATGCAAACGAATAAAATTTTTACATGAAAATTTTTATTTGGTGTTAAGTAAACAATAACAATACATATAATGAAATAATTCTAATACATAAACAAATAAAACTATTAGTGTTTGTAAGTTACTATCAATTCTATGGATACCATTTTACTTTACATAAACCAAATTCTTTCGTTTTTCAGTTAATGTCATGTGCATGAAATCTTAATATGTGTATTATATTTTTCAAATTAATGAAGATAAAGTCAACTTAACTTTTCACCAATGTACTTTTTTAAGAAATTTATTCATGACAGACAGATAAGTGCTGGACAAAATATATAGACAATAGTTCCTGATCCTTTGAGAATGGTGAGCTTATAGTGCTTTTAGGAGTTAATTATATGAAAAATTGTTGTTGAGTACATGTACCAGTATACTAAATCCATACACTGTATCAAGTTATTCTTATGGTATGTTGAATTAAAGATGGTAATATTTCTTTTATTATTTCTTAAAATTGGCAATTGTTACATTTCTTTTAAGAAGGGCAATGCCTTTTAGTACACTTTAAGTTTAACAAAAATTCACAGATTCCAGGTTCAATTACAATACTGTTTAGCATTAAAGTTTAGATTTATTTAATTTCTAATGGTTGAAACAATTTGCTGTCTCGTCTCTTCTTAGTTAATAAAGACAATTAAATATTTAAATTAATGAATTTCACTTTCTGAAATACTGGTACATGTAATAAAGTAACTTAAAAACTCATCAGTAACAAATTCATTAAAATCTTCACAGGTCAAAATCTTTCAAATATATCCCTAAGATTTTACAAAAGGCATTAGAAACCACTGTTCAATCTTATCATTTCATGGCATCATCCAAGTATATTCAATTATTTCTGGCCCATTACGTTTGTGCGAACAATTTTCATATAATTTTCATTACTTCATATGAATGAATGTAAAAAAAAAAAAAAACCTGAATTTTATTTTGTTTATTGATTTCTAAAAGTAATCCTAATGTGAAATAATAAATGATTTGCCCTGGATGTTTCAACATGATATATCAAAGAAATAATGAATGATTTAATCTAAAATGTAACTTTTTTTTGCAATTTTCATCTCATTTATAAAAAAAACGGACAACATAGATTATATACAAAGAAATATATAGATGATATAAAATTCACATCTCAATATGGGATAATACAAAATTTACATATACATTTTATATATCACAACTCAGCTAGAGAGCTATTTGTCTAAAAATTCAATACATCTTTTTCTATTTCCTTCTACTAACATCCTTCCTTCTATGTAAACATAAAAAGCAAACATTACACTCGCTACACTCAAAGCAAAAATTTACCCCTTGATGTTAAAAAAAATTAAATTTAAACTAAGAATCTTATTATTCCCCCTTTTTCTATGCAAACGAATTAAAAATTGTATACGATTACCAGTTTACAAAAAAAAAAAAAAAAGTTGAATACTGTTTCATCACGTTAAAACGTATAATGTATAGCAGAAGATTTGAATGCACATTTTCACACATAAAAAAAAATATAAATAAATAAATGAAAAAATGTTATCATACATTAAAAAATCTAGAACCAAGACACTTATTATAAAAAGATCAGTACTTTGATTGCAACAACTAATATTATACTTGAAAATTAACTTTTATCTTATTATTACAAAAATTCAATCACTGATGTATTATTGATAATGAATTTTTGTAGTTGTCGCTTTGTTATACTCAAAATCTCTTGACATTCATACTAAATTATCCTGTTAAATACCATTTAGGAAGATTTGAACATTAATCAATTTCATCATATTGAACAAAAATTAAAAAAAGAATTATACAAAACAATATATCTACTTGCAGTTTACAAATTTTAAGAATTTTTGTTTTCCGTTCATATTATATACTAAATAATTGTGACTAACCCGAATCAAGGATTTGTACACTATACAAATCCTTGCCCAAATTAACTTTGCATTCTAACAAATAAAAATGTAGCTGAAAGCAAGTAAAAGAACATTATGGTAGTTTGGAGGCCAAGCAGGAAAATTTCCATGTATTTTATGTGTTAACAAATAAAATGCTGTTATCCAATGATAATTATCAAGGTTTGTTGATACTAAACAAGGACAATATTCCTAATAACCATACTGCTATTTGATATAAAATTACATATTTATTTACAACATAAAATAATCATTCATGCAGAAAGTGTGTATACATAAAACTAATGATACACAAAGTTATGGTCATATAAACTGTATAATTTGTTGTCTACAGTGGGTGGGTAGTACTAATTAAATGTGTTTAAGGAGAGATATCTGTTTTAGCCTTTTGACCCTGCTGTCCCTTTTCAAATGAAAGACAATTCCATATAATATATGTGGGAAAGACAGAAGAACTTGATTCACAACAGAAAAATGAAATATATTTGAGCAATATATTGTCAAAGCAATCATTTGGAAAGAGCAGATTTATTTCCAATCCAAGAAATCCCAAATTTAATAATTTACATTTCATTCTTTGTTTTATCATTTAGTCTTCATCCCCTGAAGGTCTGCATGTTTTACATTATTCCCTACACGTGTTCAAGGAAACAAGTTGTGTTAGTGTCTAAGGGACATGACATGAACAGGGACAAATATCTTTAACATCTAATATCATTGAAATCTTGAAGAGATTGCATGTGAATTTATTAATTTTAGTTTATTATGTCAAAATATTTTTTTTTGTTTCAGTTTTGAAGACCATATGAATTTTCATTTCTTTCAAATATATTTATCAAAATATTTAAATAGTTTTGATAGTTTTGTTCTAAAAAGTTGTGTTAGTTAAGATCTATACATGATCATTCATGAATAAAAGTCATGAGTGAAAACTAACTTTAACCATCGTCTACATGTATAGTTAATAAAAGTCATGAGTGAAAACTAACTTTTACCATTGTCTACATGTAGTTAATAAAGGTGTCAATGTATAAAATATAATATTATAGAGGACCACCCCCAAAGTTGTCATGATAATTAACTGGTAAATTAATCAGATGTATCCTTGGTCAATGTCTGACTTTTATAGTGTTGTAAAAGTCGTCTCAATAATGTCAAATTTCATCTTATATTGGTGTACAGAACACTCAAAAGGCAAAACACACATCTGGTCTTCAGTAATACCAAAAGGAAGTATTGTAAATAATAAATCTAATGAAATACATCAAATTACTTTACATAAAATCGTAAAATTGGTTTCTTGTTTCAGTTTAACAAGTAGCACCCAATATCATCTCAAGAGAACCAACAGTAACTAAATCCTGAGACTACTTTTACACATTGCGTTATTGACAATGTATAGTCTCAGCTAAATCTAACAGATTTTCATTAAAAACCAAATTAAAAAATTTCAACTTAAAAAGTTTATCCAGTGTTTGCTGAATATACCTTTAAAATATTTATATGATAGTGTGAAATTATAGACTTGTTTACAATAGGTTCTTCTTGAATCATAACTAAAAGATTCACAAATATTTTCATGAATTTCTATTCAAATCTAAAAGACACTCCAAAAATAACAGAAAATGTCATAAAAACAAAAACCTTAACAATTGTCTAATATGTATGACAAATGTGGTGACAGATGAATATTCTCCTCTAATGTCAATAACACGATGATAATAAGATTAACAGTTATATGATTATACAATGATTATAATTGTCTCTGGTTAATATTTCTGGTCACTGTCTCTTCAGTTCACTGGAAATAGAAAAAATAACAATTATTATACATAATATTCATTGCAATCTTTCAAACACTTTTTTAAATCGATGTTAAAAGATTTTTTTGTTTGAGAAGATCATAATTTCATTCCCAGTACATGTACAGCATTTTTAATATCATTTCAAATACGTGTAATAAGCTTATACATTAAATCAGCAAAAACAGAAAAAAAAGAACAACTAATAAATTGAACAATAGGGAGAAACAAAAAAAAGATGATTTGAGATATGGTTGAGTGAACCTCAGTACATAAGATTATTCAACAGTATAATACATATTACTTTTAATCAGATAAATCCTAAGGGTTTGTTCACCACAAGGTATAACTACACTGATGACAGTATAAATTATATTTAAGGTATATGACAAACAGAGAATATATGTTGTAATCCATCACTGATGACCGTTTATTGACCTAAAGATGTCTAGTTTTGGGACTTTTTGCTGCTTGTTGACCTAGAGATGTCCCTTTTACAGACTTCTCCCTGATTGGAGACTTAAGAACGTCTGTTTTTTTTTACTTTTTGCAGCTTTGTGACCTAAAGATGTCCTTTTTTGGGACTTCTGACAGCTTCATGACCTCAAGATGTCAATTTTTGGGACTTGTTGCAGCTAGAATGCACGTCTTTTATCCATATTAAGCTATATATACGAAAAAACATTAACACATATGTACCATTTTTTAAAACAAGATACATCATACAAGTGTTACTGCATATTAAAATCCATACCACAAAAAGTTGATCACTAAAATTAGAAGGAGGAACTCTGTTATAGTGGATTAGCATTCCTGGGTCTAACAAATAAAATGGGACAAAACAGAGCATATTTATCACTAACTGAAAACCACCTTGTCCAAGAAAGACAACATAAAGGCATTAACAAATTGCATTAAAAAGTAAAATAACAAAAATACCGAACTCCAAGGAAAATTCAAAACGGAAAGTCCTTTATCAAATGGCAAAATCAAAAGCTCAAACACATCACACAAATGAAATACAACTGTCATATTAAAATTAGAGAACATTATAAGCCTTAAAGCACTACCAGTTTTGTTACCATTGATTCATTGTAATCCTATTGTACCTGACCTTTGAGAGGTGCAAAGGCCTTTTGCCTCATAGAATATTTGTATACAATTTGATGTTAAAAGACTGAGTATCAACCTAAAAGACGATACCTTTTGTACATGGTATACATTCTCTTATACAAGTAATTAACATCATTTTTTTTATATTAATGACTTGCATCATAATACATAATGGCTTTATTTGTTTCATCATTTCAGCTGCGACATACATTTAGAAAGTACAAATAAAGAATGACTTTACATTACTGCAAGCTGTTACAGATATAGCTTGGTCACAAGACAGATATATCATCCTGTGACTATATACAACTTATGCTGTTTCTTTTGATATATAATCAATAATTGGAATGAGTAGAAGTCTTAACTATTTATTTAAAAAAAATATTTCCAAATGAAAGAGTGTTAGGATGGGGGTCCTTCATTTCTGTATTCTTTAATTTTTTAAGCCATTTTTCTCTATTCTTTATAGTTTAACACCCCATTATTCTCTATTTTTTATTTTTTCTGCCTATTTTCCACATCCATACCCTCTTGAAATAGTTGAATAATGCTGAGGACATTCTGGACATGTCATGGGTCATTTGTTTTCCCAATTAAATCAAATATGAATATTGTAATAAAATTACCAGAATAATTTAATAATTAATCAGCATTATTTCGCCTCATAAGAACAAAACTTACATGAAACATATTTTCTACTACATGTACATGATTATTTCAAATCATTTCATTTAATTTTTTCCAAAAACTTCCATGCCCCCAAAATTTTCCGTTGTTTATCTCTTTTCATGTTAAAGAGGAGACTAAAACCTCGTAAAAACAAAACATCAAAAGGTCATTGAAGTTTTTGTCTAGATAAGTATCAATATTAACTCTACATTTGTTTACCTATATTAAGAAGTGGCATTAATGATATGTGGCTATAAAAACAAGCCTTTAGGACAATCTGGCTAATAATGATGAACAAACAGTCTTCATGTAAAGTTACATAACACACCTGATATCTACCTTGTAGACTCAGATCAAAGGTGTTAATCAACAGATAACATTCAAACTTTTAATTTACTCTATGTATTTTTTACACCGTATAGTTGTTGTATTCAGACCTGACATAAAGATTGAAAACCTAATATTTATCTATTTTTCAGTGAAATGTGATGAAAATCATGTAAAACTATAGCTCTGATGTAAAACCAAGCATAAGCATGTTTATAGTCACAGTAACACAACATACATGCTATTTGTCACATACAAACAACAAGAAAGTTTATTCAGTATGTTTACTATGAAAGGAATGACTAATACTTAGTATAAATCTATAAAGTTATTAACAAAATATAACTATTACGTCAATTTGCACAGTTTTGCTTTACAAAAGATTTTTTTTATTATCTTGAATTGATAAGTCATTAAGGGTTGATTCTAAATTTCACTCTTTTTTACCCCAAAAAATAGCTAAAAAAGGGACTCTCTCTATTTTAACATCTAGAAAACTGTGCTGGGTAAATTGGAATTTCTATTCTTTTTTTTTTTTAAATATTTAGAATTATGTTGATATGGTATCAATGTAGTACCAATCTATATATTTTGTAAACTAAATGCTCTTAAAATTGCTGAGATCAGTAAAATTGTCCGATTTAAATATAAGTCAGAGACATTGGGACAATTATCTAAATATAAGGCATTCACCGGATTATGATAAACAGCTTATTAAATTTGGTCAATAACCCTACGAGGACTGTCATTATCTAACCTTGGTAAATAAAAGTACGTCAAAAAGTTCATGTTGACTTCAAACTACTTTGACAAGTGGTGAAGGTTTCTGTCCATTTTTCTAATATTGACATATTTTTTAAAACAATATTATTCCATTGTTATATGCATTATTTTTTTATACTCTAAGAGTCTAGACAGGTGTCTTTAAAGACGGCCAAAACAAAGTCAAAATTGCTCCAAGTCTAGGATACTTTACAAAGCATTCAACAGGGATAGCAGAAAATATTTCTGACAATGTCAACAAATTTCTAAATAAATAGAAATGTGAATTATCAAACCATTCAGCAATTTTTGTTCAAAAGTCAAAGACAAACTTGATTACAATGAAAATGTGGATATAAAACTACATTTGTGTATTATCAGTATTAAAGATGAATGAAAAGTTAATCTGTCAGAGACAGTCGAGGGCAAACACTTTTTTCCAAGTTTTCTTTTAATGCTAGCATTATATGGAAATCATGACTCTCCCAGACACAGCTCTTGGTATTGAAAATCCATGAGTCATTTACTGCAGGCATATAATACTGATAATGAATCAAGTTAACTGTGTTGGATACTCTTATCAGTTTACTTTGACAATACAAGTATATTCTTTTAAATTACAAATCTGTCATGGACTTTGATACCGTTAGATTATTGCTACACATGTAATTTAGAAAATGACAAAAATCATGTTTGCAATTTATATAACTTTTTTCTTTAAACCAACATGTTAATTTATAAGATGGATGTTAAAAGCAACTAACAATCAATACCTCAGATAAATGAAGGGAACAAAAAATATCTTAGTGACAGCAAGGAGGTGAATATTTAAATTTAGATATGCAATTCCTTGGTACCAGTGTAAAAGACAGTAGTCTTACTCAATATGAATTAAAAAAGATAAAAATTTGAATAAGAAAATACAATATCAGAAGACATATAGAGGGCAACATCATCATGTCATTTTCAACAATGACCTTAGTAATTGCAAAATTAATATGTCAGGCTCTTATATTTAACGGTCTAAAGTCTAAACATTATGAATCAATTAATTTAGAGAAACAACTTAATATTTAAAGATCTACATAGGAAACCTCCGAAACCACTAGTAAGACCACCAACACTTATAGTCAGTACTCCATCCTTCTCTAATTAAATCTTACAGAAGAACAACAAATGATACAGGTCAAAAGGTCCATTCAAAAAATAAAAGCATTTCATGCAATACCAATAACGAAAATAACAAAATCACAAGAAAATCCAAACTGTTGCATCAAATGCTAGCTCAAAGTGTTTGATCTTTTTATAATGAATCTATAACTGAAGACAATCAAATATCAGCTGCTGTACTTCTACTAAATAAATCCATATAGAAATTATGGCATTTATAGTGTAAGAAAAAAAACATGATTTATGCATAGTCTATAATAGTAAAGGAGTAGGTCCGGTAAGGGCCGATTTTGGCCTCAAAATTCAGGTTCATCTGATGAAAGATTTTGGACACTTTTTAAACACTTAAGTGGCTACTGCAGTCGATTCAATTAGTTTATGTGAAAGATTCGAACTGATTTAGTCATTAAAGACGCTCAAATTCAAGCGTAAGTATGAAAAATCTATCAAATATGTCATAATATGTCACTTTTCAGATGGTTTTTGTCAAAAATGAAAGTGGCCGCATCCGTGTTCATTCTCAACCTTTATATATGTTATGTATTATCATCAAATACAACTTACATTTAAATATTAAGAATGAACACAAATGCGGCCACTTCCATTTCAGACGGAAACCGTCTAAAAATTATCCAAAATGCCAACATTTCGAAGATTTCAGTAATTTAGCATGACTTAATGATGCTAGTACTCGATACATGTGCATTGTATTGTCATAAACAACCCATATTTAAGTAGCACAAGTATTCTTCTTTCCAATAAATAGCTAAAAATTTACATTTTAACAATTTTGTAAAACTGCTATATTTTGGGGCCAAAAAGGGGTCTTACTGGGCCTACTCCTTTGTACACAAAACTGCAAATATTAAAGTTTCTTAAAACAAATTGATGACACTTTTATTTCATTAGTGAGGAGATCATATGGTTCAATCTTTAAAATTAAAATGGCCAGTTACAC